AATTTCTGTATTTAGTAGTATTCTTACTGTGCAAAAAATTCTGCAGCTCTGTCTCTGCTGTTAGATTTTGATGCTGGTGGCCACTGAAATCTGAGCCACTAAAGCAGTGGAAGTACAAGGGCTTCAGAACTGACATGACACAGCTCTTGAAAAGCGGGCTCTTGAAAAATGGGGCGTTAAGAAGTACCTTTACGTCCCTGGGGCTTAAGAGCTGAAGAATCATCTGGATGTTTGAACCTATGCTAAGTCTGACATAACTTAGCATTCAGATTTCTTTTGCCACCTAGAGGGCCAGACACTGGGCGCCTTGTGCTAGGAATGCTCTTGCGAGCTGCTCTCGTGAATCTTATGTCTGCGAACTGAAGAGAAAGGGAAACTCCGTCCCCTCGGGCGTGGCCAGCAAGGAGGGCCAGCCTTGAGCAAGCTTGCCCTTCTGTACATTCCTCTTTGCCTCGGTGTTCCCTTGTGACTGCAGGAATCATCTGCTGTCTCCTGGCCTACCTACCTCCCAGTCCCTTTCCCTAGAGTGACACAACAGAGAACATCACATCCCAACTCCTCCAGGACCAGCACTGTTTAGGAGAGTGGAAATGCCAAAGAGGAGGATTTCTGTAGAGCTAACCTGAACATCAAGTTCCTACGCAAACAGTGTAAAAGCTGTAGGAAAGTGTGGCGGAAAGAGAGAAGGGACACTAGATTCTGCACAGGCCAATCTTCTGAACATTGCAGCCACTGCAGTATACAACCTAATCCTGTAAACAGAAAAGAGAATAACTTCTACTTTTAAAGGGAAGAAACTTTATCTTAGGCTTCTTTTCTTTGGGGATGCCTAAGATTTCAGCTTGCCCACCAAGGAAAGGAATGTGACAAGATAAAAAGCTCCTCGGGTCATCCTACCACAATCTCCAGGTCGCTTCAGAAGTCAGATCCACAGAATATAAACTTGGATTAAGCACTGTGAGTATAAACGGCTGGACACTCCCACCTCCAAGTGGCTTCTATGACAGCCTAACATATTCCTCAGGTGTAGCCAATGGTAGACACCCCTCCTTCATAGTAAGAACTGGCTGTCTCTCTCTCCCAAAATAGTATTCACTAGCAAAAAGGACTTTCTGGGACCAAAAAGCTTTCATCCTGACAGCTGAAAAAGAACTTGTCTATAATTAGCAAAGCAGCTTCTTCCAGCAGTGCCTGGTTTCAAGTATCTGAAATGGTTCTAACTAAATTGTGCTCCAGCTTGGCAGCAAACAGCTGTCTGACATTGGGAAAATGCCTTAAATTTCCAGGCTTCAGTTTCTTCAATTTTAAAGCAAGGGTGTTGGACAGAGTGGTCTCTGAGGTCACCTCTAACCAGAGAGAGAGAAAACACACTGGATGAAACAACCAGTACTCCACAGGTACTGACCAGGAAATAACTGAGAACTTGAGCCAACTGTAATGAGAAATTAGGAAAATCTGTGCGTCCAAGCCAGCCTTTTACTGAAGTGAATGTGAAATGACTGATACTTTCTAAACAGTATTTTTCTGTGTTGATGACAAACCTGATCATGTATGTTACATAAATGCAAGAAAAAGTGCAAAATATATTTTAAACTTGGGGAGGCAAATTCAGCTTTACTAATTGCTACAAAGAACCTTAGTCTGTCTCCCAAAATTAAAAAGCAAAACTACAGAAAGATGAGTTGACATATATTAAAAACAGACAAAAAACAAACCAACCCCTTTGCACCAGCCGTTTTGCATCAGCAACATCCGCTGACTGGTGGTTCATCTCCCAACCCTGCACAATGGAAAGACCTTGTCTGTCTTGGTAAGTCTTTGTTCCCCCAGTGTGATGTGTATTCTGTTGGAGACCTAAAGAGAAGCAAGTAACCACAGGGGCAAATACATATTACAGACTATTTAAATTGCATTAAAAGGAAACAAAAGTACAGACAACTCTTGTCATCCAGCTTGGTCAAAGAAATGGTTACCACAGCTATAGGGAGACCCCAATATAATACACCTCTCATGTGTAGTAATGGGATCTCTAGCCAAGAAGCTTGTCTCTGGCCCTCAGTACTGTAGACCTCCTCACTGCCTGAGCTCTCCTCACCAAATCTGATCTCTACTGTTGACTTTTTTAGAGCTGAAAGTGATCCAAAAAGACATTCAGTCCACCCTCCAGCCAATGGCAAGCTCTTGGCTCTGTTTAAACATGTTCAGGACCAGGCAGACACTTATTCTCTGTGCAGTTCCATCATTGAACAGATCTAATTATTGGGAAGTTCAGCACTTGTGTAGTGTACTCCCACTGTTTACTCTCTGGTTCCGCCTGATGTGGTTCTACAGAGTGTACCTACTCTCCCTTCCAAGTGGCTGCCTTAAAATAGCTTCTTAATTCTCGTGTCTCTCTGTAACACTTCCTACTCCTCCTTACTCCCTTCTGCATTTTCTTTTTCTCCATTGCATTTAGCACCTAACAACCTACTACATTGTTCCATGAAGACAGGGATCTTTGTCAGATTTCTTTACTGCCACATCCCCAGTTTCTGGAAAAAATATCTGGCATGTAACAGATGCTCAATAAATGTTAGTGAATGAATGAACAGGTTCAATCTGGAAATGAGAATAAGTGAGAAATACAAAAATGAAAACATGTCTTCAAAACAATTGATGCAGTGTGTTATCCGTGCTCTTTAACAGATAAATGCCACGCACAGCCCTTGTGTTTTTCCTTTAAGTTAGGAGTACAATTCTAAGGCGACAAATCACTGCAGCCCTCAAATAGCGACTTAGACTAGAGAAGCTTGTGTCAGCAGCTCACGTCATTAACAGGTTGACCTGGAGCTCCCAGAAACCCTACTTGCCAGTCTGGGTTTCCTATCCCACTCTTGTAAATGCCACTCATCGCATGTTCCTCTCTGGGCGCTCTTCCACTTCCAGGATTCCTCAGTGGAGTCACCTTGCACAGCCCTGCCTCCCTGACCCAGCTTTTTGCCATTACCAGATTGATACGCAGATGGATAAAAACCCTGGAGACCTGTCACTGAAGCTGCTACATACATGCAAAGTGTATATTTATCAGTAACGAGTTCATACTCATTAAGTTTGTACTACTTGACTCTTATACAGTATGGTAGTTACCTCTTACTGGTAATCATAGCATTTTGATTAAAATTTGTGTGCCAACTAGGCTGAAATAAAAAATATTAAACTATGTCAAATTTGTCATATTAAAACAGTTTGACCAACAAAGGAAGGAAAGATATGAAGGTAAGCTTTATGATATTAGATATTCTGTGTTGTATTACTATTAATACACAATTTTAAAAATATTTCGCTCATTTTCAGTAACTAATAATTGCTACCAGTTATTGAGCACTTGCTCTATATCAGATACTATGTTAAGCACCCTCAGCCACATTATGTTCTTTAACATCTAACTGTGAAGTGCTGTTCATATCTTCTTTTATAGACAGGAAACTGGAATCCAGTCATGCATCACTTAACAATGGGATGCATTCTGAGAGGTGATTTCCTCATTGTGTGATCATCATAGAGTGTCCTTACACAAACCTACCTGGTATAGCCTATGCACACCTAGGCCATATGGTGCTGATCTTATGGGACCACCGTTGTATATGCGGTCTCTTATTGACCGAAATGTCATTACGCGGCACATGACTGTGGCAAGGTGGTCATTTGCCCAAGGTCAAACCACTAGCCCAGGATCAAACCTGAGGTCTCTCCACTTCCAAAGCTGTGCTCATAACCCTGCTGCATTTCCAGCTGCCTTTGCTACTAAGTGCTATGATCCTGAACCCAGTCCTCAAGTCACCCAAGCACTTAAGGAATGCCCAGTGCATGCAAAATAGAACATCTCATCTTGTCTCCTGAAGAACTTGAAACTGGTCAAATACATATGTGAAAAGTTAAAAAAAAATAGTCCAAGGCAACATAAACCTCTAGGAATTTATAGGAAGCTGTGAGCTGGTGTCAGTCAAGGGCAGCCTTATGGAAGTAGATTTTAAAGTGGGTTCCGAGGAGGGAGAGGACCAAGGATTTCCCAAGTGCAGTGCGATGACCACCTGCACTGGGATCATCTGGGCCATTGCTCGGCCTTGGTTTTGACTTTTTCCAAAAAGGAAGGAGAAACCTCTCTAGCTTTTGAATCAAAAGAAAGTTATGACAGGATTATTTTCAAGTAATTTGACAAGAAATGGAACGGAATGAAAGGGAGAGCAGTTATAGAAGATGATTGCACAAATTTTGTATAAAGTGAAGGATTAGTTATCTATGGCTACAAATCAAATTACCCCCAAACTCTGGACTTGAACAATAAACATTTATTATCTCACAATTTTCTCTGGGTCAGAGATCAGGAGCAGCTTTAGCGGGGTAGCTCTGGCCTGGGGTCTCTCACGAGGTTGCAGTCAAGATGTTAGCTGAAGTTGCTGTTAGCTGAAGGCTTCACTGGGGCTAGAGGATCTGCTCCCAAATGGCTCCTCACTCAGCTCTTGCTGTGTGGGCCTCTCTGTCGGGCTCCTCTAGTGTCCTCACTACATGGCAGCTGGCTTGCCCCGGAGCAAGTGATGCAGGAGCGAGCAAGGTGCAAGCCGCAATGTCTTTTATGACTTGACCTGGGAAGTCACACACCATCGTGGAATATTCCGCAGTATTCCACTGACCCTACAGGTCAGCCTGCTCAGGGTAGAGAAGACTACACGCAGGGATGGTCACGACATGGGGCAGCCTCCTCGGGGGCTGTCTTGGAAGCTGGCTACCCCAGGTGATAAGCACCTAAAACCAGACTGGGACAGTGAACGTGAGAAGACAGAATTGATCTGAGACCTTTTAAAGGAGTATTCAGTTTCCAAATGGCTATGGAGAGAAAGAGCAGGAGGAAGTCTTAAAGAACTTGGGTTTTGTATTTGGGAAATAGAAGTAGCACTAATTAGAAATGGCGGAAAGAGGAGCAGTTTGGTGGAAGGGACCAAATTTACTTTGATTTATGTTGATTGAGAGATGCAGTGGAATCTCTAGGGAACAGGTTGGCTTCACAGAAACTTCTTCTATGCAGGACCAGATAGTAAATATTTCAGGTTTTATGGGCCTCATTCAGTCTCTGTCGAATCCTCAGCTGCAGGGGGGGATTTTATTTACAGCCCCTTAAAAATGCAAAACACATTCTTAGCTCACAGGCTGTTGTCTGCCAACCGCTGCCCTTAGCAAACTCTCCTATAACAGCTGAAAACACAAGCACAGAACAGATAAGAAGGGAGGGCCCGAAATGCAAGCCAGTGCTGAGTCAGCACTCACTCCTTTCTTACTGCTCGCCTCTCTTACTGTTGGCAGTCAACTCTTACTAGTGATTATAAAAGTTAAAAAAAAAAAATACCCTCACTAAAAAAGTATGTTCCATCAATGAAGCCCAGTGTTCCCCCCAGGGACTCCGCAGCCCAGTGACAACCCGTCGACGCGCCAGCACCAGCAGGAACTGCACTGTGTACCGGGTGCCACCAGGCCGGCGCTGAGTCTCTTCACATCTGGTTTGATCCTTTGAGGTAGGTATCAGTGTCTACACTTTACAGACGAGAAAACCAAAGCTCCATGGTCACGTTTGCTCCTGCGCACCTATAATCCAATGGCTGGCCCACAAAGGGCACTCTCCTCAGGCACTAAAGTCACCAGAATAACCCTACCTCTTCTTTGGGTACTGAAGTTGTAACAGAACTACAAAGACTGGTTCGTAATATATTGAGCATTCACTGAGGCTCAGCCGTAATTAGGGATCTGCTAGGGCAGACTGTTCAGGAAAAAAAATGGAAGTCATAACATAGACACCCAGCAGTTAACTCCTCTGTCAAAGCACGCCCGCCCCCTCCTTAGCAGGGGGACAGAAATGCTGGCGGCAGTCACACTCTTGAGAAGACAAAAAGCCACTGCCGAATTAGACAGATACAGTTATAATGGCTGGTTCTAATGCCAAATGAGTGCAAGAGTCTTCAAAGAATATTTAGTGCCATCACTTTGCCTACCAGAGGGGAGGCCTCTGGTTCCAGAGAGCTCCCGCGCTGCTCCTTCGCTAACAGTACTACGGCATTAGCTCCCAAACCACAGGGCAGGCACCGACACAGGGAGCCCGGGGGCCTGTGGGCTCACACAGCTCTGGAAAGCCCAGCTTCCAAGGGAACACTCTAGTTTCTCTTGACCTCCATTCCAGTAACTTCTGGTTTATCAGAAGAGTTGACACAGTAACTAGTGCATTCAACCTTTATTCCTACCAAACTCACGGCCACAAAAACAGGGATGCAGTACTGGAAACTAAAGAGAGGCGCAGAATTCTGGACTGACTGCTGTGCTTTTGGCAAAAAATAAAATTTTAGGCAAGTAATATGACATTATCAAAATAATCAGTTTCTTCTTATACTCATTTCTCCTCTAAAAAACCTAAACTGGTTGGTTTGGTTAAAACATAAGGAAAACTGTGTCCCATTTCATGTTCAGAGACTAAAGTGAAATAGGGATGTTTTATTTGACTTGCTATATACATGTAATTAAAAACCCATCTCCTAAATTAAATCTAAGGTCTGTGGTCAGTGAAAGAGAATAAAATCTGGTAAATAAATTAAGTGTGCATGCAGAACGGCTGTGATGTCCATATAACTCAAAGCTTCGGCACTGGCAGGGCAGCGGAGCAGAGGCCAGTCCCCAGCACTGGTTGGAAGGCTCGGCGCTCCTCAGCCAGGTGAGCTCCCACCTGATGCGATGAGCCACAGCCTGGACCTGGCAGAATCCCTGGGCCTGAAAGCCTGAAATCCGTAGTATTAACAAGCTCCCAAAGGCAACCTCAGGCTCTGCATCGTTAAAACACTCCAGCCCCTGAAACAGCGTCCTTTCTGAGAAAGCCAAGGGGAATATCCATGGTCTATGATCACAGCAAACCTGGGCATCAAAACCCATAAGAAACTTCTATCTGAATGTTGCACGTTATAGAGTGGGAGAAAGTTACCCCCTTTTTCACTCTCATACTATGGTTTCTGGGGAAGGGACATCAAAGATTTAAATTAACTTCTTGTTTAGTAAACAAAACTTTTCCACCAAAAAAAGAAAAAATGGTAAAGGTAAGCTATAGGCCAACATGGAGCAAATTCACTGCCTTTCTGGAGTCCCCTTCCTAAACGTCTCTAAGCACTCACTGATCCCGAATGCCCCTTCCGGCAAACCACATGTCCAGCGAGTGTCCAGGGTGGATGCTGAACGCCCAGCGACTTGCTGCTCGGCCTCTGTCTCCGTGTCCTGGGCGCAGGGAGCGCGCCGCGGCTTCACGCTCTGGCGCAGGCCGGGGCCCCCAGGCCTTCCAATTCCATGTTAAGTCGGCAGATCACCCACTCCAAGGCCTCGCGACCCTGCCGAGAGAACAGCACTGAGGACCCTCCCAGGGGGATGTGTCCACATCCAAACACGCGAGACGAAGAAGGCCTCTGTCAGGTGCCAGCGCGCTTGTGCTCTAAAACTCCTGCCAGAGGGCACCTCAGGAAACGAGGTGGGGTACCTGCTGAATGTCAGTGTGACAGCAGTGGCGACAGACATTCGTTATGAAACAATAGTATATGATTAAAGTGGAACATTTGAATATTTTCTCAAATTAGAAATCAAGGTTAAATTTCACAAGGCTACTTGCACTCAACTTTTACGATATTTTGTCATACAACATTTGCTTTTGTGCCTATGTAAACAGTGGTACAAATAAACACTGAATCCACTTCCAGACCAAAGCCAAACTTTTTTACACTAAACAAATTTTGCAAATAATCACTATTACTTTGTTACTTAATGACTGACACGCTCAAGAAAAAAACTTACATTTAGTATAATGGAAAGCACAGGAGAATAAAAAACCTAACATAATTATGTGCTTATTTTCACTCCACCTGAAGCCACCAAAAGTCTGAAGTGGCCAAATGACTGCCAGCTGTAACTGTCCTTGCCCTAAAAATGCGATCTTCCTCCCAAACTACACCAGGGACCTCTGCACCCCCGAGTCATTGTAGAGCATTCAGGAGAATCTACCCTTTCTGACACTCTTTCCCTGCTTCAAAAATGTGGTTTCCAAAATCGCAAATGTCCATGTTTCCAGGCCAGCCAGGTGGCGCAGCGGTTAAGTTCACATGTTTCCCTTCAGTGGCCCTGGGTTTGCCAGTTCAGATCCCAGGTGTAGACCTACACACCGCTCATCAAGCCATGCTGTGGCAGGCGTCCCACATATAAAGTAGAGGAAGACGGGCATGGATGTTAGCTCAGGGCCAGTCTTCCTCAGCAAAAAAGAGGGGGATTGGCAGCAGATGTTAGCTCAGGGCTAATCTTCCTCAAAAAAAAACAGTATATGTTTCCCTCTAGAACAGAACTCCCTACATGACAGTTTTTAGACCATTACCTCTACCAGGGTATACAGAGTCACCTTGAATGGAGCAGAGTTACCTACAAGTGGGACAAGAGGTTGTCACTGGAGAAAGTGTTCACACAGCGTCTGTAAGAGATGCACGCCCAGAGGGCGGTCCCCAGCATGCCCCAGCACGCAGGCCGCTCCACCTGCACCCACCGCCTGTGCAGACCCAGCACTTACCTGCAAGGAGCCCTCGAGTCCTTCAGGAATTAAGACTGCAGTGCTATCATACAGCTAATCCGAAAGAGGGGACTTTGCAAGATAATGTAGAAAAAGACACAAAACAATGTACACAGTATGATCCCATCTGTGTTTAATAAAAGAAAGAAAAGAAAAAACCACACACATACTTGCATGTGCAGCAAACATTTCTGGAAGCCTTAAAAGTCGGGAGTCAACTGGCAGAGGCCAGTTAGTCTTCCTCCTGGGGAGGACTTCACTCTTCCCCAGAGACTCCTGTATCTTTTTTTTTTTAACCATAAACATGGATTGCTTTTATGTATTTTTTTCAATTAATATTGTTTATAAAAGTGAACAGAACTTTGATTTCGACATGGTGGGGAAAAAGACCTTTTGCCCTTATCTCTGAAATGTCCACAAAACTATAAGGAAAAAAACCAGAAACACAAACTTCAGAAACTACACGGAGGCAGCAGCCTCCCAGCCCACACGTGAAGGTGGAAAGCAGAGGGAGGAGCAGTGATGCAGCGGAGGGCGGTCGGACAGGAGCCGTCAGAGCCTGGGGACTGTCCAGAGAAAGGGCACGCAGAGGAGGGCAGGGGACAGGCTGGAAGGGGTAATTTCACAGCCTGGGCTCTTAGACCCCTAGGTAAACACAGACACACCCCCGCCTCCTCCAAAAGGCTGAGTCTCATTGGGAGAAACTGAACCAATCTAGAGAAAAGGGCTTTGGGGTTCAAGGAAGAAGTCACAGCACACCCGACAGTGAAGCCCAGCCCCAGCAAGCCTCGCGCTCCACCCGGAGCTCTCGCGGGGTTTGGGGCATGTCAGTATGAAGAGACATCTGAGGAAAGCCTGCGATGGGAAGGGACGTGGAGGAGACGCTGACACACAAGAAAGCTTCACTTCGCACTTATTTCTGCAGAGAGAGGAGCTACGACGCTACATCTGTGAAGCAAGAACGAGATGTGATAATGAACAGGAAAGACAGAAATTAAAAATACAGTTTGCCAAAATAAAAATTAGTGGAAGGGTTGGAAGATAAAGTCCAGGAAATCTCCCATAAGGGAGAACAAAGAGGAGAGAAAATATAAGAAAATTACAAGATCAATCCAGGAAGCTCAACATATGACTAAGAGGACTTCCAGAAAAAGAGAAGAGAGAGAATGATGGGGAAATTATCAAAGAAATCACTACCGGAACCAAAGGCACCACCACATTCCCAACGCGATTTTTTTCGATGCCTTGCTGACCTGACCTCAGCTTTATGTATGTATACACGCATGTATTTATTCATATTTTTTTCTTTTTTACTGAGGTGAAATTCACATAAGTTAACCATTCTAAAGTATACAATTCAGTGGTATTCAGTACATTCACACTGTTGTGCAAACACCTCCTCTGTCTAGTTCCAAAACATTTTCATCACCCCCAAAGGAAATCCCATACCCATTAAGCAGATTTCCCCCATTTGCCCCTCCCCCCAGCCCTTGGCAACAACCAAGCTGCTTTCCATTTGTATGGATTTACCCATTATAGATATTGCATATAAACGGAATCATACAGTATGTGGCCTTTGGTGTCTGGCTTCTCTCATTATTCAAACTTAGCATAATGTTTTAGAGATGCATCCACGTTGTAGTATGTATCAGTATTTCATTCCTTTTTATGGCTGAATAATATCCCAGTGTATGGATATACCACATTTGTTTCTCCATTCATCAGTTGAAGGACATTTGAGTTATTTCCACCTTTTGGCTACTGTAAATAGTGCTGCTATGAACATTCGTGTACAAGTATTTGAGTACTTGTTTTCAATACTTTGGGGTATATAACTAGGAGTGGAGTGACTATACCATTTTACATTACCACCAGCACGAACAAAGGTTTCAATTTCTCCGCATCTTTTCCAGTGCTTGTTATTTTCCATATCTTCTTTGGAGAAATGTCTATTCAGATTCTTTGCCCATTTTTAAATTGGGTTCTCTTTTTATTGTTGAGTTGTAAGAGTTCTATATATATTCTGGCTAAGAGACCCTTATCAGATATACAATTTGCAATTTTTCTCCCATTCTCTAGGTTGTCTTTTCACTCTCTTGATAGTGTCCTTTGATGCAAAAAAGCTTTTATTTTGATGAAGTCGAATTTATCTATTTTGTCTCTTGTTGCTCATGCTTTTGTTGTCATATCTAAGAACCCATTGCCAAATCCAAGGTCATGAATATTTACCCCTATGTTTTCTTCTAAGAATTTTATGGGTTTTGCTCTTATATTTAGGTCTTTGATCCATTTTCAGTTAGTTTTTGTATGTAAGTTAATAGTCGAACTTCATTCTCTTATATGTAGATATTCAGTTGTCCCAGCACCATTTGTTGAAGACATTATTCTTTCTCCCATTAAATTCTTTTGGCACCCTTGTTGAATATCAATTGACCATAGATACACAGGTTTATTTCTGGACTCTCAATTCTATTCCATTGGTCTATATGTCTATCTTTATGCCTGTCCCAAATTGTTTTGATTACTATAGCTTTGCAAGAAATTGGGAAATGTGAGCCCTCCAACTTTGTTGTTCTATTTCAATACTGTTTTGGTTATTCAGGGTCCCTTACAATTCCATATGAATTTGAGGATTGGCTTTCCATTTCTGGGGGAAAAAAAAAAAGCTGTAGGCATTTTGATAGGGATTAGATTGATCCATAGAACATTTTGGATAGTATTGTCATCTTAATACTAAGTCTTTCAATCCATGAACAATGGATGTCTTTGCATTTATTTGTCTTCTTTAATTTCTTTCAATGTTTTGCAATCTTTAGTGTACAAGTCCTTCACCTTCTTGCTTTAACTTATTTCTATGTATTTTATTCTTTTGGATGCAGTTGTAAATTGGGTAGGTTTCTTAATTTTATTTTTAAATTGTTCATGGCTATTGTAAAGAAATACATTGATTTTTTTGTATTGATCTTGTACACTGCAATTTTGCTGAATTCCTTTAGTAGCTTTCTTGTGGATTCTTTGGGATTTTCTACATACTGGATCATATTGTCTGTGAATAGAGATACTTCTATTACTTCTTCCTTTCCAGTTTGGATGCCTAATATTTCTTTTTCTTATCTAATTGCTCTGGCTAGAACTTCCAGTACTGTGTTGAAGAGCAGTGGTGAAAATGAGCATCTTTCTCTTATTCTTTATCTTGGAGTGAAAGATGTCTGTCTGAGCAGGATGTTAGCTGTGAGTTTTTCATAAATGCCCTTTACTATGTGGAGGACGTTCCCTTCTATTCCTATTCCTAGAATATTTCTAGAATTACTATTTCTATTCCTAGAATAGTGTTTTCATCATGAAAGGGTGTTAAGTTTTGTCAAATGCTTTTTCTGCATCGGGGCTGGCCCCGAGGCCGAGTGGTTAAGTTCGCGCGCTCTGCTGCAGGCGGCCCAGTGTTTCGTTGGTTCGAAACCTGGGTGCGGACATGGCACTGCTCATCAGACCACGCTGAGGCAGCATCCCACATGCCGCAACTAGAAGGACCCACAACGAAATATATAACTATGTACCGGGGGGCTTTGGGGAGAAAAAGGAGAAAAATAAAATCTTTAAAAAAAAAAAAAAAAAAGGGGCTGGCCCCATGGCCGAGTGGTTAAGTTCATGCGCTCCGCTGCAGGTGGCCCGGTGTTTCGTCAGTTCGAATCCTGGGTGCGGACATGGCACTGCTCATCAAGCCACGCTGAGGCAGCGTCCCACATACCACAACTACAAGGACCCACAATGAAGAATATACAACTA